CCTTTTGGCAAAGTTTTCTGATGGAATAAATGTCTAATTTTTAGGAGGTCCCAGTCATCTAGTTTATCTTCTGCTGGTTTTTATTTTTATTTTTTTTTAATCTTCTGCTGTTTTGCACTTTTAGTTATGATTATTAATTTATGCCATATATTAAGGCCCCTAAGTTTGCCCCTATTTTTTCTTTGATGAACTTTATAATTTTAGGTTTTGCTTTTAAGTCTTTGCTCCATCTTCAGTAAATTTTTGTATATGCAATGCAATGCACTGCTATCGAGTCAGATCCGACTCATAGTGACTCATCCTTGGGTTTCCAAGATGGTATCACTATGGAAGTAGATAGCCCAATATTCCTTCCAAGGAGTGGCTGGTGGGTTTGAACTGCCAGCCCTCTGGTTAGCAGTCAAATGCCTTACACATTAGGCCACCAGAGCTCCCAATTTTTGTATATGGTGTAAGACATGAATCCTGTTTCATTTTGTCTGCAAATGGGCATCCTGTTAAAAAGACAATCTCTTCCCCATTTAATGGGTTTCAGCCTTTTGTCAAAGATCAGCTGTCCATAGGTGGTTGGCTCTATTTCTGGATCCTTAATTCTTTCCACTGACCTATGTGTCTGTTGTTGAACCAATACCAAGTTGTTGTGACTACCATGAGTATACAGTAGGTTTTGAGATCTGGAAGCACGAGACCTCTTACTTAGCTGTTCTTCGGTAGTGTTTTGCTTATCTGAGGTATCTTTCCTTTCCACATAAAGTTGTTGTTGTCATCAGGTGCCATCAAATTGTCTCCAATTCATAGTGAACCTAAAGAGCCTATCCATTAAGGAATTATGGGATGACATCAAGATCCTCATCCATGAAGAAAGCAAAAGGTCATTCATAAGACAGGAAAAGAAAAAAAAACAAAATAGATGTCAGAAGAGACTCTGAAACTTGCCCCTGCATGGAGAGTAGCTAAAGCAAATGGAAGAAACGATAATATAAAAAAGCTGAACAGATGATTTCAAAGAGCAACTTGAGAAGACAAAGTCAATTATTATAATGAAATGGGCAAAGACCGAGAGCTGGAAAACCAAAAGGGAAGAACACACTCAGCATTTCTCAAGCTGAAGAATTGAGGTAAAAATTCAAGCTTTGAGTGGCAATACTGAAAGATTCCATAGGCAATATGTTGAAATGATTCTGGAAACATCAAAAGAAGATGGATGGAATACACAGTCACTATACCAAAAAGAACTGGTAGATGATCATCCATTTCAGGACGTGGCAAATGATCAAGAACCAATGGTATTGAAGGAAGAAGTTGAAGCTGCACTGAAGGAATTGACAAAAAACCCATTGAGATATTTCAACAAATGGGATGCCGTATTGGAGGCACTCACTTGGCTACGCCAAGAGATTTGGAAGATAGCTACCTAGCCAAGTGACTGGAAGAGATCCATATTTGTACCCATTCCAAAGAAAGGTGATCCCACAGAATGTGTAAATTATTGAACAATATCATTGATATCACACACACGTAAAATCTTAATGAAGACAATTCAAAAATGGTTGCAGCAGTATATATAAAGATGCACCTAAGAGTTCCGGTAAGATGGCGGAATAGGCAGAAAGACTGCATAGACCCTCTTCAACAAAGAAAAGGGGAACTAATTAACACAGGTACAGAAGACAATCCTGAACCCCTGAGCCTTGAAGGGAAGGACACAGAAGTGGATTAAACTCCAACTAGCAGAAGAATTTGCATGAAAACACCAAAAAAGAAGACATACTGAGCTGCGATCTGGCAGTGATCCTGATGGGACAGACAGTGTGACCTATATATTTACCCTTCTGACAGTACCACAATGTCTTGATTACTATTGCTTTGTATTAAGTTTTGAAATCAGGAAGAATGAGTCCTTCAACTTTTTTCCTATGACTATAGCTTCTGATCCAGTAACACAGGATGTTCTTCCATCTATTTAGACCTTTTTTAAACTTTTTTTATTTTGTAGTTTTCATAGTGTAAGTTTCACACTTTTTTTTTGTTAAATTTATTCCTCATTGCCTTATTCTTTTTAATGCTATTGTAAATAGAATTCTTTCTTAATTTTATTTCAGATTATTCATGCAAGTTTATAGAAATACAATTATCATACCCTGCAATCTTACTGAATTCATTAATTAGTTTCATTAATTTTTTAGTGAATTCCTTAGGATTTTCTATGTATGTAAGATCATGTCACAGGAGTTCTGTGGCAGAGTAGTGGAGCACTCGGCTGTTAACAGAAAGATTGAGAGTTCAAACCTACCAGCTGCTCCATGGGAGAAAGATGTGACAGTATGCTTTCATAAAGATTACAGCCACAGAAGCCCTATGGAGGCAGTTATACTCTGTCCTACAGGCTCACTATCAGTTGGAATCAACTCAGTGTCAACAAGTTGGTTTTTTCTTTTTTTTTCCTTTTCTTCTTTCAAGATCATGTGATTTGTGAATAGAGCTACTTTCACTTCTCTCTAGTCCATCTGCCTTTTATTTCTTTTTCTTGCCTAATTGCCCTGGCCAGACACTCTAGAACAAAACTCAATAGAAGTGGTGTGTCAGGCAACCTTGTCTTGTTCTTGATTAGAGCATTTAGAGCATTTACTAGAGATTTAGAGCATTTACTCTTTGACCATTAAGTATGATGTTTGTTGTTGTTGTTGTTATTTGCCGTCGAGTCGGCCCCGACTCATAGCGACCCCTCCTTGGGTTTCCGAGGCAGTATCACTACGGAAGTAGGATTGCCCAACCTTCTGTGGGTTTTTCTTATGCATCCTTTACCAAGCTGAGGAAGTTCCCTTCTATCCCTAGTTTGTTGAGTGTTTTTATCATGAAAGAGTATTGTTATTTTGTTATTTTTGTTATTTGTTATGTACCGTCGAGTCAGACCTGACTCATAGTGACCCCTCCTTGGGTTTCCGAGGCAGTATCACTATGGAAGTAGATTGCCCAAACTTCCTTCCGAGGAGTGGCTGATGGGTTTGAACTGCCAGCCTCCTGGTTAGGAGTCAAGTGTCTTAGGCACTATGCTACCAGAGCTCCTATGAAAGGGTATTGTTGTTGTTGTTGTTGTTATGTGCCGTCGAGTCGGCCCCGACTCATAGCGACCCCTCCTTGGGTTTCCGAGGCAGTATCACTACGGAAGTAGGATTGCCCAACCTTCCTTCCGAGGAGTGGCTGGTGGGTTTGAACCGCCAGCCGTCTGGTTAGCAGGCAAGTGTCTTAGCCACTATGCTACCAGAGCTCCCATGAAAGGGTATTAGAGTTTCTCAAATGTTCTTCTATGTCTATTGAGATGGTCATTGTGGTTTTTCGAAAATTTTACTGATATGTTATATTACTTAATTTCAAATATTAAACTATGTATCTCATTTTAGATCATATGAAAATACTCATTTTATCATGTTTTCTCACTATTAGTGATGACGCTAAAGCTGATGACTTGGTTCAGATGATGAAAGCATGATTCCTTCCTTGTAAAGTTTTTTTTTTTTCCCTTTTGTTAGAAAGTGATCTTTGAGATGACAGTTTAGTACCACATGAATATTGTTCCTCATCAATCTAACTGTTAACAGTTTTAGCATCTATTAATGGTTCCTGCCTGAATTAAATATTTCCTTGGGGTCTACAAAACATTGACTTTTCTTATTCTATCATCTCTTAACTATTAGCTAATATTTCTCTATAAGAACTTTCTCTTTTATTTGAGATACAATTGGAAAGGGATAATAAATATTTAATTTATTCCCTTTATTTACTATCATTCAGAGTAAGAAGTTGATATAATAGCCATTGCCAATGATGACAAATAGATTTTGTTATTTTACTTAGATCTTTAAGAATCATTAGAAACACATACATATTTTTCACATTTTCAGTGTGATTCAGTAAATAATAGTGATTATTTATTGTTATTATCTAGATGCTCCAACTGTCCAACTCAGGTCAGGACAGTCTTTTCACTCTGGTGCTTTGATTCTTTTGAGGTGAGTCAATCAGTACAAGTTTACTTTATAAACTCCCTGACTTAGTCCTGAAATCAGGTATTTCTACAACCAGCCCTGATTTCTTTTAATGGAAAATGGTACTTAAGAGATCAATAGCTGGAACCTAGAGTTGTTTATTACAATTGGGATATTTGGAACAGCTTAAAAGCATAAAAACTATTTATTCCTTGAAGATTTAAAAAGATTCATCTGGGGAACTAAGCATTGTGCTTGGGAAATACTTCTACAACAGTTTTCTGAATTTCTTTAATGGTTACTGACTGTTCAAGTTTTCTGTTTCTGAATAAATTATGGCACTTTCTACTGTCTGATTAAATAATTCATTTTCAAATGTATTTTCAGAGTCTTGGAGTCTTCCACAATCTTTTTGAGTCCGTTTGTAGACATGGTTCTATGGTTACATCCCCATTCCCATTTCTAGCTATACATGAACTTGTTGACATATTTTCTTTAATTAGGATGTACAGTGGCTAATATTTTTTTTTTTTAAGAAAGTCATTCTTAAATTTATGTACAAAACCCTACCATTTTCTAATTCATTATATTCTGCTACTATCTTTTATCAATTACTTGCCTTTTGTTTTTTGGGCTTCTATATTATTACTCTAAGAGCTCTGTTGGTATAGTGCCTAAAGTATGTGATTGCTAACCAGAAGGCTGGCAGTTCAAACGCACTAGCCACTCCTAGGAAGAAGGTTGGGCAAAACCCAAGGAGGGGTCACTATGAGTAGAATTGACTTGATAGCAGTGACTTTGGGTTTTTTTGTTTGTTTGTTTGCTTTTTCGGGAACTTCTCCAAAGTAAAATAAAATTCTTACATTTAAATATCAGAACAAAAAAAATCAGGATTCACAATGGAATTCAGTTTAACCCATGCATATACTATTTCTTTCTATATAATTTTAGTTAAGTTTAAAATAGTAAGCAACATAAGTGTGTATGTGTTTGAGAGAAATTCTCCCCCCTTACCTCTTTTGTAGTACCTGCTCTTCCAGGTTCATGGTTTATACAAAACGGGCCAGTTTTCCATGCCTCTGTGTCTCCACAGTCACAAAACCCTCCTCCAGTAGAAGTATGCATCTGAAAAATTAAGGAAAAGAAAAAAATGTGGGGATGACTGACAAATACATCATTACAACTTGGTAAGTAAAGACAGAGATATGTACAGGAAATAGGGAAAAAGAAGATTCTAGGTGGGCTTTGTGTTTTTCTCCAGATTTATTATACTGACTTTGAAAGGTGTTCAATAAAAGAATAATAGATCACTGTCAAGGATATAAGTGGACCTGGTTTGGGTATCAGCTTTCAATATACAAGAAGACCTTAGGTGAACTCAGTCACTATTTTGTTTCTATTTCATCAAACTGCACTATTATTCTGATTTTAACATCTCAGAATTTAATCTATTCAAGAAATAAAAAACCTTGGTCCAGCAAGGGCAACTGCAAAATAAATAGCAAAAGACCTTTGGTTTATTATCCTAAAGATGACAGAGGTAAGTAGCAATGCAAAGGTATTCTATAGTCAGTCTTCCAAAATAAGCAAAGACAAACTCAGGTGATATTAAGAACAATCAACAAAATGGAATGTATGGCTAACTACCCCCATAAACAACTGCCTCCTTTGCCATGAGACCAGAAGAACTGGATGGGGTCCAACCACCATTACTGAACATTTTGATCATAGAAGAATCTTTGATCAAAATGGACAGAATTCCAAATTCCCATGGACTCCAGGCTTTCTGGAACCATGAAGGTTGGATGAACCCCTGGAACTACTGCCTGAGATAATCTTTCAACTTTAAACCAAAAATATCCCCTTAAGTTTTCTTAAAACCAAACGTAGTTTAGCTTAACTAGTAAAGAATGCCTGCCTTGAGCATTGTGCTCCTTAAGATCTATCTATATGGGATCAAACTGATATCAGCCACTTGAAAAAGGAACAACTCAGAAAAGAAGAGTGAAGATAGTTGTACAATTTAGAGAACATAATCAAATCACTGAATTATACATGAAGAAATTGTTGAATTGGTGTATGTTATGCTGTATATATCAATCACTTCTCTGTCAATTTGTGGTACTGTGGTGCCTTGTGTGTTGCTGTAAGGCTGGAGGCTACACCACCAGTATTTCAAATCCCAAAAGGGTCACCCATGGTGGACAAGTTTCAACAGAACTTCCAGACTAAGGCAGACTTGGAAGAAGGAAGAGGTCATCCATTTCTCACAGAATTGGACAGTGAAAACCTTATGAAAAGCAGTGAAACACTGTCTGATATATTACTGGAAAACTTTATGAACAACCCTGAAACACTGTCCAATATAGTGCCGGAAGATGAGCTCCTCAGTTTGGAAGGCACTCAGAATACAACTGGAGAAGAGCTGCCTCCTTAGGGTATAGTTGACCTTAATGATGTGGATGGTGTAAAGCTTTCAGGACCTCCGTTTGCTGATGTGGCATGACTCAAAATAAGAAGAAATAGCTGCAAACATCTATTAATAACTGGAACATGGAATATATGAAGTATGAAGCTAGTAAAACTGGAAGTTGTCAAAAATGAAATGGAACGCATAAAAATTGATATCCTAGGCATTAGTGAGCTGAAATGGACCAGTTTTGGCCATTTTGAATCAGACAACCACATAAATTGAAGAGGAATGGTGTGGCATTCATAATCACAAAGAATATTTCAAGATCCATCCTGAATTACAATGCCATCAGTAATAGGGTAATATCCATACGCATACCAGGAAGACCAGTTAATACTACTATTATTCAAATTTACACACCAACCACCAAAGTCAAAGATGAGGAAATTCAAGACTTTTACCAAATTTTGCAGTCTGAAATTGACTAAGCATGCAATCAAGATGTGTTGATTATTACTCGTGATTGGAATGCAAAAGTTGGAAACAAAGAAGAATCACCAGTAGTTGGAAAATAAGACCTTGGTGATAGAAATAACACTGGAGATCGCATGATAGAATTCTGCAGGACCAACAACTTATTCATTGTAAATATGTTTCTTCAACAACACAAACAGCAGCAATATACATGGACTTCGCCAGATGGGGGACACAAGAATCAGACTGACTACATCTGTGGAAAGAGGCAATGGAGAAGCTCAATATCTTCAGCCAAAATAAGCCCAGGAGCTGATTGTGGAACAGACTATCAACTGCTCAGATGCGAGTTCAAATTGAACCTGAAGACTATTTTAAAAAGTTCAATTAGAACCAAAATATGACCATGATTATATACCTCTTGAATTTAGAGACCATCTAGAGAATAGAGTTGATGCAAGGAACACCAGTGATCGAAAACAAGAGGAATTGTGGGATGACATCAAGAACATCCATGAAGAAAGTAAAAAGTCATTAAAAAGACAGGAAAGGAAGAAAAGACCAAACTGGATGTCAGAAGAGACTCTGAAACTTGCTTGCCCTTAAACAAAGAGTAGCTAAAGCAAATGGAAGAAATGACAAGATAAAAGAGTTGAAGAGAAGATTTCAAAGAGCACCTCGAGAAGACAAAGTCAATTATTATAATGAAATGTACAAAGACCTGGAGTTAGAAAACCAAAAGAGAAGAATACACTTGGCATTTCTTAATCTGAAAGAACTGAAGAAAAAATTCAAGCCTCAAGTTGCAACACAGAACGATTCCATGGGCAAAACATTGAACGAAGCAAGAAACATCAAAAGAAGGTGGAAGGAATACACAGAGTGACCATACCAAAAAGAACTGGTTGATGTTCATGCATTTCAGAAGGTGGCATATGATCAAGAACCAATGGTACTGAAGGAAGAAGTCAAAACTGCGCTGAAGGAATTAGTCAAAAACAAGGTTCCAGGAATTGATGGAATACCAAAAGAGATGCTTCAACAAGCAGAGCAACACTGGAGGCACTCACTTGTCTATGCCAGGAAATTTGGAAGACAGCTATCTGGCTAACTGACTGCAAGAGATCCATATTTATGCCTTTTCCAAAGAAAGGTGATCCCACAGAATGCAGAAATTATCAAACAATATCATTAATATCACACGCAAGTAAAATATTAACTGAAGATAATTCAAAAACAGTTGCAGCAGTATATTGACAGAGAACTTTGAGAAATGCAAGCTGGATTCAGAAGAGGACGTGGAACGAGGGATATCATTGTTGATGTCAGATGGATCTTGGCTGAGAACAAATAATACCAGAAAGATGTTTACTTGTTTATTGTTGACTATACAAAAGCATTCAATTGTGTGGATCGTAACGAATTACGGATGACGTTGAGAATGGGAATTCCAGAACACTTAATTGTGCTCATGAGGAACCTGTACATGAACCAGGAGGTTGTCATTTGAATGGAACAAGGGGAGACTGCATGGTTTAAAATCAGAAGGGAGTACATCAGGGTTGTATCCTTTCACTACACTCATTTATCTGTACGCTGAGCAAATAAGCCAAGAAGCTGGACTATATGAAGAAGACCGTGGCATCAGAATTGGAGGAAGACTCATTAACATCCTGTGATATGCAAACAACACAACTTTGCTTGCTGAAAGTGAAGATGACCTGAAGCACTTACTGATGAAGACTGAGGACAACAAAAATCCTCACAGTTGGACCAATAAGTAGCATTAGGATAAACAGAGGAAAGACTGAAGTTGTAAAAGATTTAATATTACTTGGTTCCACAATCAGCACCAATGGAAGCAGCAGTCAAGACATCAGACAATGTATGGCACTGGGCAAATGTGCTACAAAAGACCTCTTTAAAGTGCTAAAGAGCAAAGATATCTCCTTGAAGACTAAGGTGCACCTAACCAAAGTCATAGTGTTTACAATAACCTCATATGCATGTGAGAGCTGGACAATGAATACAGAAGACTGCAGAAGAGTTGATGCTTTTGAGTTATGGTGTTGGCAAAGACTTCTAAAAGCCCCATGGATGGCAAGAAGAACTAACAAATCTATCCTGGAAGAAGTGCAGCTGGAATGGTTCTTGGAAGTCAGAATGGACAGACTTTATCGTACCTACTTTGGCCATATTGTCAGAAGGGACCATTCCCTGGAGAAGGGTATCATGCTTGGTAAAGTGGAGGGCCAATGTAAAAGGGAAGGCCTTCAACAAGATGGATTGACACAGTGGCTGCAATGATGGGCTCGGGTACAGCAAGGATTATGAGGCTGGCACAGTACCAGGCAGTGTTTCATTCTGTTGTACCTAAGGTCGATATGAGCAGGAGTCGACTCGATGGCATCTAACAACAACCACAATACTGTGTATATATTCTCAACAATAACAACAAAAATACAGTAATTTAACATATAAAAAGAACAATCAACAAAATAAACATCAATAGCAATGGGAAAAGTTTCTTAAAATGTGAGTTCAGATTAAAAGGGTTAAAAGGTTTCTTGTTAAAGTTTGCAGCAGGTTCTTAGGCACATGACTAGCAATTTCACCTTTATAAACTCACTGCCATCGAGTGGTCCTGACTCACAGTGACCCCTCCTTGGGTTTCCAAGGCAGTATCTCCATGGAAGTAGATTTGCCCAACCTTCCTTCTGAGAAGTGCTGGTGGCATAGTGCCTAAAGCATTTGACTGTCTCAGAAACCCAAGGAGGGGTCACTATGAGTCAGATCCAACTTGATGGCAGTGACTTTTTTCAACTCCATATGGCAGCTCTGGTGGCATAGTACCTAAGGCATTTGACTGCTAACCAGAAGGCTGATGATTCAACCCACCAGCTACTCCTTGGAAGGAAGATTAGGCAATCTACTTCTGTAGAGATACCGCCTCGGAAACCCAAGGAAGGGTCACTATGAGTTGCATCGACTCCATGGCAATGAAAAAAATATATAGAAGATTGCAGTCTAGTAAATTACTTAGTGTGGCTTTTCTACCCATAAGTCTTTGTAAACTCCAAGGTGGGATTTTCTATGAGCAACTGAGGAACTATCCACGTGGGTTATTTCTGTTGGGCGTGGCACAATACAATGTTCTGAGAGGTTCCCACTCTCTCACACATGCTTAGAGTTCTGATACTGTGATTGGCTAGTTTGACCACCCTTCCGGGCTCAAAAG